ATGTAGAAGTAAAAGGAAAAACAAAAAAATATGTATTTAAAAAAACATTCAAATTTAAATTATGTGTTAAAATATATAGACTAATTTGTACTAACCTGGAAAAATAAATATTAAAGTCATTTCAAACCAAAAAACATGAGATAAAGTTATCCTTTGTTATTTAAATTGGTGCATTTCAAATGTATTTATTTAGTAGTTCATTTATATAATTCTGCTTTTATTTCTAATTATGTCGGTTTCGGTCCTCCATACTGCAAGAAGCCTGATAATCATCCATTCATTCAAATCAGGTGTGTTGGAGCAGAGAAGCAAGTAAAACATGCAGGGCTGCGGCCCTCCAGGACCAGGATTGCCCACCCCTGCTCTAAAAGTTCAGTTTCTACAAATCTTATTGAAATATTTTGCAAATGCTAAACTAACATTACCGCTTCTTGCATTCAGACAGATTTCTGAATATTTTCACCTTGTTTTTTTTTCTTTTTTGGTTTTTATTGCGCAGGAGTTCTTTCAGGATGGCAGCAAACCGGAGAACGTGGGCGTGTACAATCTCTCCAAAGGGGTCAATCGCTTCTGCCTCTCCAAGCCCGGTGAGCCTCCTCCTCCCGACCTCTAAACACAGCATTAATTAGCATATTGAGAAAATATCAGAGCGTAGCAGCTTTTCCCTCATGTAAACTTAACGTCCGGTGTTTCGAGCCAAAAGGTCCGTGTCAGACTTAGCTAAATATAAAACTGGAACAAAGTAATTAATCAAATCAAACCGGCTTGTCCAGGTGTTTACAAAGTCACCCCTCGCTCCTGCCATCAGTTCGAGCAGGACTTCTACACCTACGATACGTAAGTAATGAGATGCCGATTGTTTCTGGGTTAAAACACTTAGAGGATTCTGATGATTTGTTTGTTTTGTGTTCTCCAGCTCGGCCCCCAGCATCCTGACCCTCACTGCGGTGCGACACCACATGACAGGACTCATCACCACGGACAAGATACTTGACGTCACCGTCACAATCAAGTAATAAGTGTGCTCAATATTTCTGCACATATTTGTCAGTATTTAAGTTTTTTTTTTTTTTTTTACCGTTTAGATCATCCATTGAGAGCGAGCCAGCGCTGGTGCTGGGCCCGCTGCGCAGCCTGGAGGAGCAGAGGCAGGAACAGCAGCTGCAGGAGATCCAGCTGCGACGCCAGGAGCGAGAGCGGCGCGCAGCCGAAGAGGGGCGAGGCACCAAGGACGACAGTCCTCCTGTCCAGGAGAAGGCAGATGAACTCACAGGCCCCTTCCACTACGAGTTCTCCTACTGGGCCAGGTAAGATCCACAACATTCAACTGATAGATGGAAAAAATGGACACGTTGCTGGCTTCTGCTAAATATCGTGCAGGAATTTTTTTTTTCTGCACAACTGAGCTGAAACATCAGGCTAATGGGGGCCTTCACTCAGGCTATTTTTACAATATTGTCATGCGACTGTCCGCTCGACACTGATGCACGTACCAACTCTTGTATCAGCTCCATTGATTTCAGTGTTGGAGTTTTATGTATCCTTACACCCCTATTGTCTTCTCATCTGAGCTGTGGGGATCGAGAAACATTTATTTCTGCGATACCTGACTGTGAACACACTTTGTATAATATGAAGTACACTGCATTCCAGTAGTGTTTGTAATATAAAACACAGCTGACTGTCCTTTATCCCCTCTGTAGTTTTCTATAAAATGACCTCAATAGAGTGAGAGAACATTTCAAACAGTCTGTTTCCAAAAATACAACACGGCAGCACCCATAAGTCCTGCTGACTTCCATTCCCAACAATGACAGAAGTTGGGGACAGTCCATCTATAATATRTAGCTTATAAAAGCTGTGGGTTGCTGGGGATCTTTATAAATGGTTTGTTAGTCATGTTTTTGTCTTTCAACCAGCTGTAGTCAGGTCTACAGTCTAAAGTCTCTGACTTTGAGTTGAAAGCTAACTCTTCTAGTTTACCTTGTTTTCATGAGGAGAGTTAATAATTCCTGTGTGACTTTCCAGAGCTGGCGAGAAGATCACAGTCACTCCTTCCTCTAAGGAGCTGCTCTTTTACCCACCGGAGGTAGAGGCAACTATCACAGGAGGTAGGAGCCGTCTCACACTGAAATATAAGGGTCCAAGCTTTTCACTGCTGCCTTACGCATATGAATGTTTTTTTTTTGTACTGTCTGCTGCTGGGAAGAAGAAGAAAAAAATTAGAAAGTATAGACCATTCAGACCCAGATACACCCCCTCCCCCTCCACTTTTTGACAGACTCGTGTCCAGGCCGGCTCGTCGACATTATCGGGCGCGCAGGTCTCTTCTTAGAGGGCAAGGTGTCTCCAGTGCTCCAAGGTGTGGAAATCTCCATCACAGAAAGAGGAGCTGCTGCACCGCTCRTTACTGTGGCCACTAATGAGATGGGAGCCTACAGGTACGAAAACCCAGACTGAAAAATAGGGAAGCACGTAAACGACACGGACGATGTCTCAGACTTTGGACAACGATGCCTTCAGGTTCTGCTGTGAAACCGGAGGTCTCACAGAAGTGTTGTGTTGAAGAGTCGACTCGATGTAATTGTTGTCCTCAGATGCTGGATGTAATTATCTCTGCGGACGATGGCGTACCTGGAAATCTGTTACAAAAATGACTCCTTGCCGTCTCTGAATAGCAGGACATAAAACTATTAACACTAATCTGTTCACTTAGTGTCATCATAAACACGAACATGATTTCTGAATGATTTCTTGGAGCTTTTCTGTTTCTGGGGCAGAAGGACTGATGGAACATCTGATCAAAATCCCACAAGAGAGAGGAAATAAAAACGCACACTTTATGAAGGATTTACTCATCCTTGAATTTCCTTGAAATACCTTTTTTCAAGTGAATCGGTCATGACCAGTCAAGCCCTAACTGCAGCTCTGCAGACTATACTAAAAGCTGTGTTTGTGCCAAAAATCTAATGCATTTAATTAAAATGTAAGAAAATCCAAAAATTCACATCGATCAGAAGCATCTGGTCAGAATTATGATGCAAAAGTTTGTTGGTAACTTTCTGTTTGTCAGAACATGAAGGACAACCCAGTTTGTTTTTACCTTTTTATATACAAATTTATCTGCCTGTTGTGATTTATTCACCAAATGGTATGTAATGGGTTTAGTGGGAAATTGATTAATCTTGATCACAGATTTTATTCCTTAAAGCGATGGTTCACATATTATGAAATGGGATTCAGTGGAAAGATCGTTAAGAATGAACATCTTACCTGTTGTGCATAACTTAGGAACAACTTGAATTCTGCTCAGACTGATGAGCTAAGAGCTAATCAAAGCAGGGCTGATAAAGTGGTTCAAATGAGAGATCTGTTTATGTGCAGGAGATCGAGTCAATTCTCAGACTTAATGTTTATTTACAGACTTCCAAAGTGAACACTCATAACTCAGATCTGGTCCACTTCCTGAAATTTCCACCCTGACCCCGGAGACTCAGCGGAGTGGGGCGAACCACACATAACCAAAAAGCCTTAACCCAGAGTCCGAGTCCCGCCCTGGATGTTATGTCACATTAAACTTTRAATTTATAGAAATAAACATTAAAACTAAATAGAGACGTGTTGATTCTCTAACACTTTATAGTAAAATGGTTACATTTGATCCCAAGACTTAAAAATACGTCTGTATGATGTCACAAATTAGTTTAATACTATTACTATTTTATAAACTTTTATATTCCTATTAAATTTTACAAGTACAAATTGCAGGTTAGCAGCTAGCTAAACAGTTCCATATTTTAATATWATTCCAGAGGAATCATATGACGTAAACCTGAGTGCAGTGTAAAAGTTTATAAAACATAAACCTCCATAAGATTTTTGGGTTTGGAGTTTTTTAGGATGGCAGCARTGCACTTAGAGATTATTTCTAACCATCTGCAACGGATAAGATATTATTTGTTCATAATTTCACCGCTTTACCCACTTCAAAGATCTAAACTATCCTTTTAAATGAACCTGGTAATTATCGCCTGCCCGTGTGTGTTTGTGTATGAGTGTGTGTTTGTGCGTTTGTACTGTTAGCAAAGTGCCTCATGAATCACTGAAGAGATTTTAATGAAACTTTCAGAAAGTAATCACTGGGTTGACATTTAAAACTGATTAACTCGCGGAGTCGGCCTGATTCTAGGTGACTCTACTACAGCAAAGCAATCCTAGCTAACATGAATGCCTTTAACAGCCAGTTTTACCAATGCTGAGCTAAAGTTTGGTGCAAGTAGCTAAAACTGAGCTCCGGTTTACGCTCTGAGCGTTAACCGATCTCAAAAAATGTTCAGAAAAAAGAAAATGTCTGCGTGTTTTTGTCTCATTTTCTTTGTCCTCCTGCGTCTCAGCGTGGGTCCGCTCCACAGCGACCGGCTCTACGACATCAGTGCCAGCAAGGAGGGCTTCGTCCTGAGTCCGGTGGAGGGAACCCCGGGAGACTTCAAGGCATTCGCTCTGGCCGGCGTCACCTTTATGGTACGTGTGGGCGTCGTCCTCATGTCAACATTACATTTCACTAATTAGCCTCTTCTGTTCTGTGCACTCAGTTTTCATCTCCTCTGATGGTTTAAAGAGCCTGTGACATGCCTATCTTTCAAATACAAAAAGTCAAAGAAAACATCTTTATTCTTAAGAAAATTGGCATATATTGGCAAGATTTTACACATTTACACCTATTTTCTTTTGGATTTGGCTCAGCCAAAGTGAAACAGGAAGTGACATCAAAGAGGAACTCTTAAATGAAATAAACTCTCTGGTCTTTGTTTATTAAAACAATATTATTTAAAGTTTAACTCTTCATCATCTGTGTTTGATAGGAACTCAAAATAATCTAAGAAAAATCAGATTCTTCTCTACAGCCTGTGTTGTTGTGCTTTTGTAACAACGCTCAGTTTACATGCAGACATTCCCCTTCGACATCACTTCCTGTTTCTTCACACGCAAATATCTCAACAACTATTCAGCTCAGCGACGTGAAATTTGTTTTGCAATATTTTATCAATGTTATCTTTCCAAAAATGCGTTCATGTTTATTACAAAAAAATTGCCGCCACAGACACTTTAAAGTGAACATGAAACCTGATGAAAAGCTCACGTTTTATTCTGAATGTTTTTGAAAAGTGTAATTAAAAGAAAAGATCACTCATGGCTGGTTGAAGCTTTGTTTTGCCGTGGGCTGTGGGCCTTTGTGCCGCCTTCGTTAAAAGGCTGCCCAGTCACCTCCTGTGACCATGAAAACCTTACACAGATTAGTATTAGCCTCCCCATCAGCCTACGGGAGAAACTGCTTTGAAGTCTGTTCCACGTATTTTTCTGCCCTTGTTTATCCTTCACGTGTACATCCTTTACTGAAATAAAACATTAGTGACACTAGCTTGGCCTGCCAGCCTGATTCCATCCACGGTCTCACAGTTTAGTTCCACTAAAACATAAAAATATCCTTCCTTTGCTGCAGATCAAATCAGAGGATGGGCAGCCCCTATCAGGCGTCCTCCTGTCTCTGAGCGGGGGACATTTTCGCTCTAATCTTTTGACGCAGGACACCGGTGTTCTCACCTTCAACAACCTGGTAAGAAAGCAGCCCAGAAACACTTTCTGTACTCTGCTTCACATTTGAAACAGTGACGATTTTTTTCTCCATTAGAGTCCCGGTCAGTACTACTTCAAACCGATGATGAAGGAGTTCCGSTTCGAGCCTGCGTCTCAAATGATCACAGTGGAGGAGGGTCAGAACCTGAACATCAACATCACGGGCATTAAGACTGCGTACAGGTACAGACGTCCCTCTGCTCACTGAATGGAACAATTACAGACCAGGTGTTCCTGAAAACGTTGTGGTTTTTCCTCTGTTGCGCTCAGCTGCTACGGAGCGGTGCAGTCGCTGAGCGGAGACGCAGAGAGGGACGTGGCTGTGGAGGCCGTGGGTCAGGGAGAATGTAGCCTCTTCAGCGAGGACACCGTCACCGACGAGGAGGGCCGCTTCAGACTCAGGGGTCTGCTGGTAAGACACTGAGACTCAGAGGGGTTTAAACACAGCTGGCATATTAAACTGAATCAGACTGTGATCTTAGTTCTTACACCTGTTCTTCTGTTTTATTCCGTTTTATTTACAAAACATGGTGCATGTTGTGTTTGCTTGCAGCCCGATTGCAAATATCTGATTCGGCTTCGAACTGAAGGCAACGATCACATCGAGCGGGCTTTGCCTCAACACAGAGCGATAGAGGTAGGTCAGAATCCCATCACCCTAAAGGCGTTATTGGCTTTTAACAAAGGGAAATAAAGGTTGTGTCACAGTTCCATGAAATGGCTGCACAGACCAGCCTGTCTTTAAGCTCTGTAGGGTCATTCATAAATCACAGGTGAAACAAGATGTTATTTAGATACTCAGTTTTACCTGAAACAAGAGTTCCCTTTGACAAACACTAACTGGAAAAGAAGTCTGAATTTTTGGATGTTTTATAATAATTTAAACGTTTTAGGAATTTGTCTTAAGTTTCTGTTGTATCATGTTAATTATGGGCATCTTTTGATTATGCCATTTTCTTTTCGTTTTGATTGTATTGATCTACAGTATTGAGCTTCTTTCAATTTTCATTTGCTATTGAGATATATGTTATGTAATAAGTGCTAGATATTACTGTATGTGCATATTAAATATATATATATAAAATCTTACGCTTGTTTTATACTTCGAGTCGCGCGTCTTGTTCCCCCTGCTGAGTGACAAAAAGTCTGATGTGTTTTTCCTGACAGAGTATAAACGGGGCTGAAGATATGGCGGGTCATAAATTATCATAATTCCTCCCTCTGCCCTCCCACAGCTCATATACRTAGGAAAACAACAATAATGATAATAAGTGATGGCTGGATAATGTGGGTTTTTTCACTCAACAATCAGTGTTGTGTTGGGTGCAGAGTTCGCAGAGGAAAAACTTTTTGTTTTGTTGTTGATGTGATGRAAAAAAGGCATAAACATCAACTGCATGCTCATGTTATATGGGATCAAACCAACTGCTCTTCTCTTTTAACAACTGACTTCAGACAAAAATAATAATTTTAAACAAAATAACACRCAGAGGGAAGATCTGCTCCTCATGAACAAACACTCCCACAAAGTTCTGACCAATCACACGCTCCGAACCGCAAGGTCTGTAATGCAGAGTTCTGACCGGGTGATTGCAGCAGGAGAGACGCAAGTGTTTTGTCACTCAGAAGGGGGAACAACACATGCAACTTGAATTATAAACCAGCCTTTAGTTCAGTTTATTTTTAACATTTATCTGTAGTTTTCTAGAATGCTTTTTAATCATCTTTAGCAGCAGCTCCTCACCCAGTTTATACTTTACTATAGTATTTATTTCCATCTAAAGCTCATAGCTTTTAGGGTTCAGATTGTTTACCTCTGTTTTATTTAAATTTTTATTTCACCCTTTTTTTTGTAAATGGTTCTAAAAAAAGTTCAAGCAGTGTATTAAAAACTTCAGTAATTGAAAAGCTGAAATGACCGTGAGAACCCTGATTATGACTTATATTGCCCTCATCACATGGACCCTTTTTTTTAAAACAAAGAACAAAAGCAGCTATAATCTCCCAAACTAAAATCAAACCTCTCAGTTCATTTTTTTACTCATTTGAAAACCGTAGTCAACCTAATCTGTTTGGCAAGGCTGGAAATGCCCTAATTCCCCCTAATTCTCTGTTATTATCACCCCATGTGACTTCAACAAAAGCTTTCTCACTTTTCATTTGCTCTTTTCTTTACCAGGCCAGGCTTGTATWATTCCATTAATCTTTGGGCTTAATCCTGCAGGTTGGCAGCAGTGACATTGAAGGGGTCAACATCATCGCCTTCAGGCAGATCAATCAGTTCGACCTCAGCGGAAACATCATCACGTCTCCTGAACATCTCCCAACGTTATCGGTACGGTTAGTCTTATTAACTGAAGTGTGGCAATAATAATATGAGCACATGAAGTTTATTATATTCTGTTTGTTTCAGGTGAAACTGTACAAGAGTGACAATCTGGACAATCCAATCAGCAGTGTTTCTCTGGGGCAGTCCCTTTTCTTCCACTTTCCTCCTCTGGACCGGGATGGCGAGGTATCAACCAGTCCTCAGCTTTTCCTGTTGAAACTCTTGTTTTCAGCAAAACCAAACCTTTAGGATTGGCTGCTGCTGAAAGACAAAGGCTTATGAGGAGGTTTTTGCCTCTGTGTGTGTGTGTCTGTAACCAAAATATCTCGTGAACCAACAGGTGATGTTTTAACGACACATTGGATGCACACATTCAGCTGATTAATCTTTAGAGTCAACAAGATTCAAGATGGCTGCCACAGCTGACTGAAGTTCAAAACGCAATGATGTCTGAGGTGGTAGTAGCTGAGGGTTGTTTACAACACTTTCTCTGACTGTGACGTAATTTCACACAAAAGTGTGGGTAAAATTATTTTCAAGGTTTGATGAAAAAGACTACAACTTTGTAATTTCTTAAAGKGGGCGGGGTGTGTTGTGAGCTAACTCATGTTATAATGTCATTAACTYATCAAAAGCATATCCAGAGTGTTGCTTTGACTCATTCATGAGTGTTTGACAAACYCTTGAATCTCCTGTGGCCATGTGGAAAYGCATGCTCGTACAAAGCTCCGCCTATTTATACTAAGCTCCTCCCTGGAGCACAGTCTGCAGCCAAGCTTCCACCCCACAGAGCACCCCTCCACTGAAGGATTGTTTGAAAATGTGCTGAAGTGGGAGTTTCTGAAATATGGATGTGAGTTATGGGTTAATGAATTAATCTAAAATTGATTGATCTTATCGATCAAGTAAYGATTRATTGATAAGCAGCCATTTTCTTAAAAGCCTGACATTTCTCTTGAATCCAGGGTCCTTCTACAACATGAAGGGCTAATGTTTTACATGCTGAATTTAAAAAAAAAAGAAGTACATTATTATATTTTAACAATTTATTGTGCCAGCTGCTATAAACTCTGACTGAATAAACAGAAAATTGTGGATTTCTCACACATTATTAAACTTGGACATATTTATAAAGTATAACAAAACAGGATATTACTCTATTAGGTTGCTAGTTGGAAAAAAAGAAAATAATATACGGTAATATAATATACAGGATGTAAAATACTTAATTCACTATGAACAGAGATGTAAAACTATCATAACATTTTAGGCTCAAGATTAACTCAAAAACAACTCTAAAGATAACAAAATATCCTTGGGAGGGGTGAGAATTCAAACAAGAGTAGCTACTGACAACTGAACACTATCACCATATTTGTTTGCCTTCCCTGTAGTTCTGTTCAGGCCCGGTTTTGCGTGAGATACTGTTTATTTGATTTGTTCACTGGCCAGGTTACCACACACAGATGAGCGTAACTTCACGTGAATCATTTGTAGTGATTGTAACGTTTTTGTTTGTTTTTTTACACGATTTTAACTCAACAAGAAACTAACGTTAGCTACATTTAGCTTACCGTTTTTTGTCTGACTGCTCTCGTCTTAAGCTGGATGGTTCGGTACCGCTTTTGGTACTTTTCCTTCTAGTTTGATGTAATCCATTATTATTATTGTTGTGTTGCAAATAAAACAAGATTCACACATGTTTAATATTATGATCCCACACACATCGAGACGGCTTTCTGCTCAATGCAAACAGGGCCAAGGTAGTGTTAGACCAAGCTGAGAGCAGCGGCGCCCTCTTCTGGATGGTGGCTAAACTACACTGAAATAAGGTTAAACAGACGTTATCAATTAATCAAATGGAAGGAAGTTTATTCTAATTAACCATTATTCTACATTTAATCATAAGTCGATTAAATGTTTACATCCCTAATCTGAAACAGCAGACGGTTTTTAGAGAGATTAATGTTAAGACTTTTAAATACTAAGTCAAATATTTTTTTTTTATATTCAGCATTTTCGTAACAACTAAAGGTAACAGTTGATTGTGTTTTAGAAGTGAAATTGCCTGGAAAATACCTAATTACCCTCCTAATGCAACAGTCTTAATCTAAATCTCTGACTTGAAATGTGACATGCATTTCTTCTTTAGTTTATGTTTGTTATATTTCAGTAGGTTGATAATTAGGTGATGGCTGACTGTGACTCTTCCTGTGTGTTCTCCAGAGTTACGTTCTCATGCTGTACTCCACGCTGTCCCACTCRCAGTACGATTACACCCTGCCCCAGGTCTCCTTCTCCTCCACCGGCTACCACAAGCACGTCACCCTCACTTTCAACCCCGCTGTGAGATTTTTATTCATTTTAAACTCATTCTCTTTCAAACGTTTTGCTGTATTTGTGTTAAAGCCTCGTCTTTCTCATTGTTGTGTTTCCCTCAGCGTAAAGTGCCCGACCAGGATGTGGCACAGGGCTCCTACATCGCGCTGCCCCTCACTTTGCTCCTGCTGTTAGCCGTGTACAACCATGAGAGGGTACATACAAAACATTCATTTTTTTAAGTAAAGGCCTCACTGACAAGCTACCAGTCAGATTAGCCTAAAAAAAATAATGTCCTGTCTTTAGAAACTTTGATGTTTTAGATTTTCACTCATGTAGTATATTCGTTAATCCCTTAATTTAATGCATGAATGGTTTAGCTTTTTTTATCCAGCTTTTCTTTAATCCCGTTCTTTTCCCTGACTTGTTTTGCAGGTGATCCCCCTCCTGCTACAGTTGATGAATCGCATCCAGGGAGTAAGAAGCATGGCTCAGGCCGGCACCGACAGCGCAGCCCTGGATGAAGCTAAACGTCAGGCTAAGAGACAGAAAGCCAGACGTACATGAGGCGCGTCTCGCTTCACATCCCCGTACGGTAAATTGAACACTAGCACCGGTGACCTCGGGGGCTCAGATAGCACCGGGCCACACTTCACTGGAGTCTCTGCTCGTCTGTTCTGTGTGCTGGTGAACCGTTCAGACCACTCAACGTGCAACTCATCAGTGATTTTGATTCACTGCGCTCAAAACTGATGTTTTTTTTGTTTTGTTTTGTTTTTAAACAACAGTCATCAAAGATATCTGTTCACATTTGTAATGGAGACATTTTTTATATGTTTGTAATTAATTTAGGTCAACTTAAAACTCTGGCTTTTTCAAAGCACTTACATGCCTTTTGATGTCAGTCCTAACAAAACTGAAGACTTTCAGACCTGGCATGTCTCTCCTATCAGGACTGGGATCAGCTCAAATATAGTGGAGCAATAGAATTTATTCAGGCTCTGGCTTCAATTTAAGAAAATCTAATAGGATCAAAAATCTGATCTAAAATATTTAATAAACTGGAACATTTCTCTTGTATAAATGTAGGTGTATTTGGTATTAAAATCAATCAACTAAGATAAAATTATCAGAAGCCCGGGGGTCTGTGATCGTTAACTGAAATTCTGAAGAAATCAACAATCCAACATCAGGTTTTCATTGTGTCGTATTCTTTAAGCTGGTATCTCACTGGGCTGCAGCTGTTKGAGACTAGTTGGAGACTAAATTGTGAGAAGAAAATGTAATTTTCTGTGTGACCGATTGACCAGCCAGCTGTGCAGCCACATGTTTCACAAACAGTTATTTTTGTGTGCACTGCTTGTCAAAATAATATTCCAGCCCACGCACGTTAATTTGTTTTACCAGCCTCCACCTGCAACCACCATGGCAGTCATCCCACGGTTGTGGTGTGTTTTCTGTCAGGGGAGGCTCTCGTGCAGGTGTCACAACACAACTCCAGCGGGTTGAGACGAGCTGAAGATGCCCCTGCAACAATTCTGTAACTAGTTTTGAAAGAAACCTTAAAACATTTAAGCAACAGTTTTTTTAAGGTTTTTTTACGAGTCGCCAGCAGTCACAGCCCAGTTAGATACTGACTTTAAATGTAGAGTAAATCACAAATAAATAGAGCAAGTCTGTGCAGCACACTCCTGATGCTCTTTGTTCTGAGGTAAAACGGACCTGATGTCACTCAGGAAAGAGCTCAAATGCTGGGAACTTGTTTGATTACTGTGTGAGGACAAATGATAGTTTTTTTTTCTTTAAATGAGCCGATGCTTGAAGCAGTGTAGAAAGCT